TCGCGTCTCTCAACGTCTTCTCGCTCTTCGAAAGCTTCTCGTTCTTTCGCAAAAGGCTGTTGAAGCAAATGCAGCCATGAACAATTCGATTTCTCTCATACAATCGGTGAGTTGATGCAAACTTGGTTTGTTTTGTAGCCTTGACAGTGATAAAAGTTCTAGGAGTTAGACGAGTTGACCCGGTTCTCAAAGTTGCACGACGAGTGCCTAGAAAGTGGAAATTTCACTTTGATCGAAAAAAGTCGAGCTGTATTCGAGGAAAGGAAATATACTGTGCAAGAGCTGATGAGAAAGGCAAAGTCTAGCGAGATGGAGACATTCATCTCCGAATGGAACAAGAAGGTGTATCAACCTTGCATTCTCAACCTCTTCTCTTTCAAAATTGGCTTTATCTAGGTGTCGGCCATCATCGAGTCCATGAATGGTAGTATGGATCCAGCCAAGGATATGCGTCTCATTCTCTCACAGCACATTTTCGAACATCGGGCCGAAAAGAATGTACGTTGTAACTTCAGAAGTGAAAATCACATATTGTTTGCAACAGCGTAACGTTTGCAGGATCACTTCACCCATTTTCTTCTCGACGATTCACAGCGAGAGCCAACATTGTACTGCTTGTCGGGATTGACAACATTGGCAGTTTATCCTAGAAAAGGGAAAAGGTAATCATTTCCTCTTTCTTAAAATGTTCTTTCAAGCAAAGCCTTCGCTCCCAAACCATCCAATTTTCCGATGATCCTGAAATCTCAGTAAGATTTCCAGGAAATTTTCGTTCTTACACAGAGCTAAGAATGTTTTCGTTTGTGTCAGCTCCCCCTCTTTTCAATGAAAAAGACCTAGTCAAGCGGCACTATCTAGTCCCCGAACTTCCAACGACCAAAATTTTGAGCTTTTGGGAATGGATACCAGAGTAGTGTCGGTCCTCGAAACAAAACATAATTCGGTGGCTTGGGATATTTTCTGTTTTCTCGGCTTTTGTTACGTTTATTCATTGCAAGACTAGACAGTTCCGTCTGTAACATTTCTCGCAAGCTCTATAACTTCGTTCAATGTTAGAGCATCGCTTGAACTTTTTGCTGCCGATAAACTCATCTATATCAGGTTGAGGAATAATTTCGTAGCGTTTTCTGTTTCCAAAAACTTTTACTTAAACAAAGATCAATGGTTTTAGCAATAAATCAACTAATAATGTTTTCGCCGTTGCTGTTTACTATCTCTTCCCACCTCTCGACCAATTTGGCATGCCATTTCGTCAAAAATCGA